GTGTGTGTGTGTGTGTGTGTGTGTGTGTGTGTGTGTGTGTGTGTGTACGTGTGTGTGTGACAGAGTCATTTCTCCCTCTCCATACCTTTCTCTGTCTCTCTGTCTATCTGTCTCTCTCTCTCTTTGATGCACAACCGTTTCTCCCTCTTGCCTTTTCGACACAGATGGCCATTTTTTCTCTCTCTGTGGCACACGTTCTTGTTTCTCTGTCTGGCTCTCATCCCTCTTACCGAGTCTACTGATTGTGCTATAACTCAAGGGTTTGTGTTTGTGTGGTCACTGTGGTGCTCTGTGTGCCAAGTGATGGAAAACAAAGGAAGAAAACAATCCAATTCAAAAACAAATCAATAAATTGGTTCTTGTCACTTCTTGATTATTGTACATTGAAACAACAGTGGTTCGGACATCACCTCAGTAGAAGTTGAGCAGAAGGACTTCTTACATCACACCCTACATGTACATACTTTTTTTCACTACATGCTGAAAACCTAGGGAGCGCGCACGCGTGGATGGTTCGTGCGCGGATGGTTTGGAGTTTGTTAGAGGCTCTCACGCCCCTGCGAAGATCAGCAAACCGCTCCCTAAGGAGCTTGAAGAATTGAGGGAGGGGGGTGACTTTGGAATAAGCGACCATCTTGTTTCGCAACCGGCCACACGCGCGATTGACCTAGCAAAACTAGCCGCTTCCTCCTTGAGGGCTTGGAAGGCTACAAGGACCTGATCGTCCTGTACGATATGCTGTAAGTAAACATAACTGTTTACGCTAGCCTCCCAGTTATCGAAATTCCCCTCAGGCTTCCCGCTGTACGCGTCTTGGAACTTAAGCTTAACTGGGTCCTTGCGGGGTCTGGCCTCGCTCTCGACGGTGGCTACTGCTTTGGCACCCTCAATGGCGCATTCACAGAACTTCCCCACGTTATCTCTCAACCGCCTGACTTCGGTACCAACGTGGGTAATCATGTCGCGCACAAACTCTCGAAACCCTGACCACATGTCACTCAGGGCCACATCATGACCCTAGTTGGCTTGGCGTTCCTCCATCCAGGCCTCACTCAATACCTCTAGATACCCCAGCATCTTGTCCATTTTGGCAAAGACATGTGCCTGCGCCTGCACTTCTTGCCTACAGGCTCTCACCTTCTCCACCTCTGCGGTCAACCGATTAACTTCCTCCCTCCTTCTCGTCTTTTCCCTCTTCATTCTCAACTTCCACTCCAACTTTTTCTCCTCCTCTGTCTCTTGTCGTTCCAGGGGGTCCTCAATCGTTGCTAGTGCCCTGGCAAACGCCTCCTTCTCCTCCTGTGGCACATACAACGGTGCCTCCTCATCTTCCCCCAACGATAAATTGGCTATCCACTCACTGATCTTCTTCTCCATCTCTGCATCCTCATTCGTAGTGCCACTACTCTCCCCTTTTGCTTCCCTGCGTCTTCTCTCTTCTGCTTCGTCTGCCGCCGCTTCTTCCTCGGCAGCCTTTTTCTTCTCCTCGATCTCCTCCTCCAACTTCTTCATTTTCGCCGCCTACTCCTCTGCGACTGCTTCCAATTTCGCTTGCTTCAGGAGCTCTTTCATCTCTCTATTCTCTTTCACTAAGGCGGCCATCTGCTCTTGTTGAGCTTGGGTATAGGGGCTAGTACTCTTCCCACTACGGGTGTCAACCATGGTGATTAGTGCACAACCTGGTTAACGGTTCCAAACCTCACCACTTAGACTCTAACCCCTGACTGGCAAACTTACCCACTCAATCTAAAGACTCCGAGAATCCGGACAGGGATCCTGTCAACTAGGGTCTCTAGCCTAGACCTACTCTAAGGCTGTTACTACTAGACCTGTTGCTGATCAGGAGGCATTTAAGGAGATCCCCCGTAACTCCTCAGGAATTATTTAACGTCGCAAACAGGACGACGAGATTAGGAGGTCTCTCAACACTTAGACTGTTTGTTGTGCAGCCCACAACTCAGCTTTGTTGTGCAGCCCACAACTCAGCTTTTCGGGCCTACCGTGCCACACCGAGCAGCCCGGCGGTCTGTACCGGTCCTTGGGAAGGTTCGTGTCCTCCGGGACAGTCGAGTCATCAGACACATTCTTTAGCCCTACTTAGTCCGGGAGGGGTTTGGTCAACGAGGCCGTATCCTTCATCCACAAAGTTCCTACACCTAGACAGAAGAGACTCAATGCAGAAAGAAAAGACAGACAGACTTGACTCAGCAAGTACCACAGGGTGTGTGCACATCCATAGGGCGAGGGTTAGGCTGAAGGCTTGGCGAGTTTATACCGGCGCCAGCTTGGTCAAAATCGTGGTCGACGGTCTTGGTCAATGCCTTGGTCAACGCTGGGCAGCACCTCCGGTCAACTCCCGGTCAACACCTGGTCAACTCCGGTCAACTCTTCCGGTCGGCTATGGTTGCCGGTTTCGCCTTCCTCACCACCCTTCTCCTTCCTTTCTCCTTTCTCGCCACTTTTCTCTTCACCCTGGCTGTCTTCTTTCTTTTTTTTTTCTTTTTTTTTTTATCGCCTCTCTCTTCACCTTCTTGGCTATGGCTTCTCTCTCCCTTCTCAGTCTCCTCCTCCACCTTCTCTTTCCACCTCCTTCGTTCTCTGTGGTCGAGCTCCTCGGCTATGGCCGCTTCTCACTTCGTGGGACTGCACGGCACACTTCACAGGTAAGTGACAACCAAACTTGTATCGCTCATCTCTCTCCTCTCTCTCTCTCTCTCT